GCATCAACATTCCGTAAATAGACAAAAATAGCGTTCTTAAAATTCTTCATAAAATATTGTCATATACCATATATATTCACGGTGACACTAGTTTTTGCGTGCGTTAGAAGAATTTTGAAATGCAGTAAATATTATAGGTATCGTAAATGAGCTTTTATACTGGAAATTCGAGAAAAGAACAGGAATTATTTTTATTCCTATTTTGGAAAGAATGGTATTTACAGTTGCAAAAAATGAAGAGATCTACACTGCTATTAATTAGGTATTAAGTGCTAAATATAAAAGTTTCTAATAGACGATCGTCAAAGCATTTAGCATTAGTATGCATCAAAATCACATTTTACGGCTAAACCCTATCGAATTATGTTTAAGGCGTATTTACGTAATTGAGGTAGCCTTTTCTTCTCAGACCCCGTTGTAAACGGACCTCAAAGAATTGCTCTCATTTGGTTGACGACGAAAAAAATAATTTTAAAAGAAAATAATCATCAAACTATTAAAATATGCAAAGGCAAACAGTTTTTCTCAACCGACAAAATTTGCAACAATTACATCGCATAGATATCAGATATAAATATTCATGTACTATATTCTGTCTTGATATTTTTTTATTCTACATATGAAAAAATCCATGTACAAATTAATTTTAATATAGCTATAAAATTTCTTGTAAAAAATGAGTTCATTTGTTGTGACTGTTCGATGTTTTTTTTAATATCGCTATTGTGTCAGTGAGCATGGAAAAATGGACGAACGTTATTTCGAATACGAGTTCAAATTTCAATCGTGGCACCAACACGGCCAGCACAGTCCACAGACGGGAGGACGCAACAACGTGTACGTGTATATGGCCCAATAGAACGCACGGTGCTCTTTTGGTTTGATCACCTCCGTTCTATAAATTTTGATCTCAAGGATAATACCTGTGGTAGATAATAATACCAAAAGTCGCAAGTGGCATTTTCATCTCAAACCGCGTTGAAATTAGCAGCAGTCTTCAATAGGTATACTGGGTCATAGAGGATATTCGGGTTTTAACTTGTGGAATCATCATAAATATGAAAGAATTCTTGATTGGTTTGTCACTTGCGATGAAAACTTAATAATCGTGAAAAGTTTTTTTATATCAGCAACGAATGTAACATAAAACTAAAATTCCAGCGAAACGTTTTAACATGCTTAACCGTATAAGCACATGTTTAAGTTTATTCTGAAGAAAACAACAATTTCATAAGGACCTAATAATTAAGCGGAGTATTTATAACAATGAAGATACTAATAGACGCAAAATTTCGTTGTTCATTATAAAACTAATATATTATAAAAAATGCGAGGAAGACACAGTTTTTTAATAAAAGTGTTATTGATACAAGATTCTTAAGCACTTGGCGAGAGTAAATCTTGGATTCGGGTTGAATTGGTGCTGGGGTTAATTATTACCCGCGCTGTCTCATTAAGTTTTGGGAAAAAATTTCTTTTTTTATTTGGTCTTTGAAATTGTAGAAAATTTTTCGAGAAAACATAACATATTGTAGTGGGACCACGCAGCCGCTTCTGTTGTTACACGAACGGACAGGTTCATCGGGGTAAGTACCATTAAGTAGCCTCTCAGAAGACCTGCGTGAAGTGAACGTGATTTACGATCGCAGTTCTTCTGATAAGTGAGTTAACCACACCAACTCAGGTACTACAACCGAGTTCCACATTTTAATGGCATCGCATCTGCAATCTCTCAAGTGTTTTAGATGCCATGGGCTGCGCTAATCATTACCAGTGAACCTCTTGTTCGCGTGTCAAATCTTCACATAAAACGAATATACATTTATGCCTTATGAAATACTAGCGACCCGCCCCGGCTTCGCACGGGTGCAATGTATTAGGTATACATATAAACCTTCCTCAAGTCTTCCCTTCAACCTTCGTCAAGCAAAGCCGCATCAACATCCGTTGCGTAGTTTTAAAGATCTAAGTATACATAGGGACAGACAGACAGCGGGACGACTGTTTTATACTATGTAGTAATAGGCATTCATTTCAAAAGATACTTTTTATCCACCTAAAATTCTAAAACGCAAACGTGTGCGCTACCTAGATTTTCAAAGTTGTGCAAAATGAACGGAACACGTTGTAAATTTGAGCAAAGGTTAAAAGGTTAATGCATCATTAAATATTGAGTTTATCTGATGTTGATAAGAATAATAGCTCTTCTGATCCCCAAGACCAACCTTGTAACGAATAGGAACGTGACTAGATTTCTTCCCATGTGACAAAAATAAGCAGTCATGGGGATTAGCTAACAGAAGTGAAAACTTAAATTTGAAATAAATGTATATATTTTTACACTTAAATTAATTATACTTAGTATGAATAATTTAAATGACTGAACATTACTTAAAATTTCAGATCTATTTTATTTCTGACAATTTAAACTAATAAACAATAAGTTTGTACTTAATTTTTTTATAACATTTTATAGAATTTTAATGTTAAAATTCGCGACAATATTAATTATAACTAAACATACTGTATTAAAAAACAAAACGATATCAAAATTTTAACGTCACAGTCATTTACAAGACACATGACATTAGTATGTCGTTGATGCGAACGTATGAAGAATTTTTCCCCATACGAAATTGCCCAACGTGTCTAAGAAGTTTACACTTCAAAAATATTTTTCATGTTAGCACTATTTAAATAGGCTTTTTTTTTATGGTGTTTATTTTTCGACCAACGGGACCTTTATTGCGAGTGAAGTGAACAGTTATCATGATTCGAAATATACCTCTTGGTGTCTCAGTTTTGAATTAAGTCGAAGATAAAAATATGCAAGCAATAGACCAAAAATAAATAAAAAAAGACAGTATCCTATCTAGACTTAAGATCTTATTGCTTCGCAATATCTTTCGCTACGCAATATTTAAGACTAAATGGAAGTTAATATATCGCTAACTTAATCAGAATTTAGAGAAGGTAGTATCTGTACCAGCCAGTTAAATTTATGTGATTCATTATTTATTGCTGTGTATTAAGTTCCAAAGCGTAAGATAGTATAAAGAAGAGTATATTATATTATCAATTTAGAATCTTTTGATCCGATAGCCATGTCAAAGATAATTTGCACCTTTCGCCATTTATACGTATACGTACATGAGATAGGAAGAAGAAAAGAAAGCATTTATTTACATGCTGTAAATACTAATGTTAGTTATACAAAGTTATTAATTTATGCATAGGAGGTGAGTTTTAATTAGCCTATTTAGTGATTACGATACAAGAGGCGAAATCGATTTTTTAAATATAAGGCATTCGATGGTAACACAGTAAGCTTTAGCCTCTCTATAAAAGAAAAGTCTTTATACATGTTGTTTATAAACAACTTTCGTTTAGGCGGTAATATTTATCATAGTGTGCAAGTAAGTTACCTAAAGTAACAGGCTATGCATGTTCCACAGCTGGGCAATGCCCTCCTCTGTAACGGCTTGGAGGACTTCACATACCTTCCAAATATTTTGTTTTTATTTCGAAAATATGAAGGTTTCCTCACGATGTTCTCCTTCACCGCCGAGTGCGTGATAAGTCGACACCCAGAATTAACAATTTCATTGTGCCGCACAATTCGCACATCTTAAATTTTCCATATTTGAAGAACTTTTCTTAAGCAATCAAGCATTCGTTATAGGGCATCACGAACTAGGTTTATTGCGGTTGCCGATTAATTGCTTGGCGAGTGCGTTTATAGCCTTAAAACGTGCCTGTTCAGCTACTGGATACAATAAATATGGTTCATTGAGTTGTGCGAGTTGAACTGGGCGGATAAAGAGTGACAATGTGGAGCCTGCTACGAACACCGTTGAATGGCACGCGACCTGTAATGTAAAATAACAGTTATCAATATTACATATAAATTCTTGTAGTTACGAGTATAACACGTTCTTTAAGTAGTTTTTTTTTGCGTTAGGTATAATAAATAACGCGGTAAAATGGTCTCTATATTTTTGTATATATGTAAAGGTGCCAAGCTAGCTGGCGGTTTACCTGATGTTAATTGATAACCGTCACCCATGCACATTTTCAACACCCGTAGGGTTCGAGATGCATTGTTTGATAAAGTGGGCCCCGGCTACCTCAATCACCAGACAAAACGCAGAAGTACCTATAACTTCCACTTCACGCCGGTCTTCTGTGAGGTCGCATCGTCTTGCCCTGACGGACCTGCCCATTCGTGTAACAAACGAAACTGTTACGTGGACCAACCACAGTTAGTCTCTATAACTAAGGGAAAATACTTAAGCAATATGATTGTCGCAGATCTAAATGTTTGTCCGTGTACGATTCCTATTTCTACAACGATTTCTCGACATCAAATAATTTGAACATACAATGGTTGTAATGTGTTATAAGGATAAAGTTTAGTATTGAAAGTTTAAAAACTTAGTCATTAAAAGTATATTTATTTATTAAAAACTTATACACAGACTTGTCCAAACCGACTGTTAAAGCCGATGGCGTTTTTTATCTATCAAAGCGTGGTGTGTAGATGATGATGAAGGTGTACAGATAACTCATATAATGTGAAAAGTATATTTTTATATTTATATATTGTATTAATTTAAATGACTTTATAAAAAATTAGAAATACATGCAAAATTAGAAGATAAAGAATCGTAACAGTAAGTAAATAAAATTAATGATTTATAAATTCGTAGGCAACACGTCTTTTATCTCGAAGATGTGAATTTCGTTTTAGATTATTATAATGGTAACAAACATGAACTGTAAAAGCCTCACTACATTGTTTTAGCGTAATGATACCCATGTTTTAAGTATTGGTACACAAGGTTGTTAATTACGACTACAAGTAAATCATAAAATTATTAATCTTCTTAAAATAGTTTAAGTTTAATTGGATAATCAAAAAACAAATTGAAAAAAATGATAGTTACCACACAAGGCAAGTTGTTAAGTGCTTGGAAAAAAGCTCCGGATTTTCAAAACTACAAGGTGTCGTAATCCCATTTCACCGAGGGTATGATCCATGCGCAACCCCTTCTACTGAATAGAAGGAATGGAAATAATTTAATGTGGCGAATATGTCCCACTTTTGCGATGCTATTACATTTTTTTTATGTGAGAAGGTGGCAAAGAGCTGGCGGTTCACATGATATTAACTGATATTTGACACACACAATAAGCGCGGTATTATTCAGAAAGTACTCCAAGATTATTCAATATATGAATCACCATCATTACGATTACTATGGTCGTATATGGAAGACTAGTTTGCATGAGTATGCAAGTACGCGCTACCCGATTGAAGATCGGCGTGAAATTGAAGTATTTATATTTTTGCGTTGCGTTCGATCCAAATTGTTTTTTTTATACTCACATTTAAAGGTTGCAACCTGGCGACGCAATTCAATCCCATGCGTGTGCATATGGTTGGCGTTGAACTTTGTTATGAATATTATTAACCGGGAGTGACAAGCATCAGGTAAACTGCCTGCATGCTTCTGGGCAACGATTTCGTGAATCAATTGCAATTGAGCTTTCCTATCCCCCTTTACATTGATAAGGTAAAATCAATGCAAATGCACTAGCGTAGTAAAGGCCAGTGCACATTAGCTAATAGCTTTGAAGCGATTCACGACACGTTTTAATGAGACGGACAAGGATTCGTGGACCTCACTATTCACTTCCATGGCGGTCCCAACTTCAGCTACCGAATCAAAACACGTGGAATGCGCGTGACATGTACATTATTACAGCAACACTTATTACCTCAGAATGTAGCAGCTCCGTGTCAAACATGCGCGGGATGTTATTACAGCAAGAATCGGGACTTGAGAATTTTAGCCCAGTGGCGAAGTTTCTTCCCATGTGTATTACCTGTGGGGGGCCCTGTGCGGGGAGCCGGGCGGCGAAGAGGCGGGGGACAGCGCAGGCGTGGCGGGCGCCGAGGCGGCCCGGCGCCTCGAGTACTCCGTCCCGCCGACCGCCACCGCTGTCCCGCCGCCGACGGGGTCTGTCACGCGCGTCACGCTGAGACCCGAGGTGGACCGCGTGGGCCTGGAGGTCGCTGCCGTGCCAATCCGGTGAACGAACACGTCAGCAACGGATACGGACACAGGAGAATTATGGATGTAAATCACATTTGATGGCCTTCATTGCTTAATGTGCGGAATTCACACTTTATTGTATTCTCTCAGCAAGACCAAAAACTCTCTATTTCTAAAAAAAATATGGAAATTACACTTTAATGTATTCATTCAATAACACCTAACTAATATACTCACTACTATTATACTAATTATTATATATACCAACTATTATATTCACTATTATTTTGGGTTCCTGAATTCGTTACACAATCCAATGAAGTTAATGGAAAGTAACGAGTTTCAAAACTACGTTAAAAATTCAATATTATAACACAAATGATTCGTGTTTATAAGAATAAAACGTGCAAACGTTTGCTTAGCTGCTGTATGAGTATGCATGATTTCTTAAAAATGCATATGTGCTTAAATGCACAATTTCAAGTGAGATCATTCTCATAAATGTGTTTTCATGATTTTCGTGAGTAGAACTTGCAACTTTGATTAATAAGAGTTTCTTGATTTGTCATTATAAAATGTAAATTTTAATGCTTACTATTTTCACGTAAACGTAGTGATTATATTCTCTCTGACTGTTTTAAACGAGCGACTTAACTAAGAAACAAGGGGTTCTCAAAGCATTGTGCATTTTAAGACAGACTATGATAAACAAGGGACTGTGAAAGGCAAATCTTTACTCCTTTTTCTTTTAATTCATTGGATTGCTACAAGGCTTTTTTCAGTATTTTCTTATTATACGACGTAGATAGTTTATTTATCGTTGACCAATTAAATTTTAATGCTTGAATCAGCTGGTTACACTTAATCATGAGGCAAAAACATATGATAAATTATATGTTTATCATTTGAAAAGAAAATTTTCTTTTTTAAATGTTTTGTATAGTAATTGGATTCATATGTATACATCATATTAGTGCATATTTTTGTTATTTTTTATGGATATAAGCCGTAATTGATTATCAGCTTAGTGATATCATCACGCCATTTTATTTAAAAACGTATATTATTTATAACTACTTAATTTATTTTGTAAAATATAATCTTTATAGGATTCGATTTAAACTCCTCAGGTAACGTAGTCATAAGATTAATACAAATGTTGCCAAGGTAAAATAAAAACTTATCGGCAAACATTTGAAATTACTAGGCAGACATTGTTCATGGCGTACCATCATCAATAATAATTAATAAAAAAATTTGGAAAATGCAGGGCTAAAAATTAAAAAAAGTTAAAAAATGGAATTATCTTAATAATATTTTAATTAAAATATCTACAATTTTTTAATCTGTGCTTTCGTTACTTGGTTTAAAAACATTTAAAGCATATTAAAGGGAGCACATTAATAGTTAAGCGAGGCTGGGAATGGAAATCGTGGAAAAGGAAGAGATGTCATCAGGAATGGGAAGCACATTAATAGTTAAGCGAGATTGGGAATGATGAATACTTACGCCCGGTATAGCTGTAGAGGCCGGCCGGCGAGGACCTCGGTCTATAACCGGACGCGGTGGACGCAGTGGACAAAGTGGACGGCGACCGCTTCAGCCCCGCCGGCCCTGGATCGGCGCCCGCGGCGGTCGACGGCCTGCGTGGTCGCGGTTGCCGCTTCGAGCCGGTCCTGCACACGCCTGATGCCATCGTTACGTTTAATCTGTTTCTCCACGCTCTTTACGGTTCGGTATGCAAAGGGTAAAACGGGACCCTATTAGTAAGGCTCCACTGTTTGTCTGTCCGTCTGTCACCAGCCTGTATCTCATGAACCGTGATAGTTGGACAGTTGAAATTTTCACAGTTCCACAATTTTTAAGTGGGGCTCCCAGTCAAAAAAAAGTATTTAATAAAGCTTGAAAAAGTATTTAAAATATGAATACCAGTAAAATTGTTGCCCAAGATCAAAAGAACATGAAAAATAGTGGAGAGGGCTGAAAAACGATTGCGCTTCATAAAAAATGCACTTGCATGATTGCTTCGAACACAGTTTCCTTTCATATGCTACACATCCAACGTGCTCATCTTCATTAAATACATCGTTTGTGTGACATAGAAACAGTTCTGACTTTTGTTTAATGTTTGTACAAAATGCGCACAGTCATGTTCTTTGCCTTCTTTTAAATATGAGATTCAGATTACATTTAGTGAATTCAGCTAAGAGAAATATTTTTGGTAAACAAGAAATCTCGCCCTAAATATAACATATTTTCATTAAATGCATTAATACAGGGAGGCTTTTCCAAGTGTATCCATTTTTTTAATTAAATTCTAGACATAAATAATGTTATATAAAAAATGATAAATATTTAAAATCACTCTTATTTAATTAATTAATTCATTTGAACTTATCTCAAAAAGTGTGTGATTTATGGGAAACTCATTTATTTTACGCGCGATCATTCATAACTAAGACACACAAAAGTTCGTTTCAAAAGTATACGACGTATTTATGAATAACTACCGCATTGTCAACATGTTCTGTATTTTAGGGAACAGAATGGCAATTCTTTTGAAAATAAAAAACGATTATACTGCCTTTAGAAATTCACCCTGTACATTTTCAAATATGTTTAATAAAGTACCCATGTAAATTAATTCAAGTGACAGGCCAATTAATGCCAAAATTATTGCGTATATTATAGAATTAACTTATCCAGTGTATCTAGCATATACATATTGTATATACATATTGTTTTCTACATTATTTACTTTTCCCCAGTCCATTTGATCTGGTTGAAAACGAGTAATTACGGTTGCATTTGTATTGCCTTGCGTAATTCAATTTTCTCCATTTCATTGTTGTTTGCTACGAACCATTTCATAAACGTGAGTTTATGAAACCATATTCAAATAGTTGTAATCGAAATAAGCTCCAACGCGAAGAGTGTAGGCGTAGCCTTTATTACACTTTACTTATATCGGATAATCTTCAAGCAAACAGAAAGTTTATAATATCCTTACTAATATTATAAATGCGAAAGTTTGTATGTATGGATGGATGTTTGTTACTCTTTCACGCAAATACTACTGAATGGATTTTAATGAAATGTTACAATAATATAGATTATATACCAGAATAAGACGTAGGCTATATTTTATATACATACTAGCTCCTGCCCGCGACTACGTCTGCGTAGAGTGGTGAAAATTTAGGGTTGTATATATTTTTGTATGCTGTGTCATAAAAAAATAAAAACAAAAAATTTGGTCCAAAAAATAAAAAAAATGTTAAAGGTGAATAACCCTTATCACTTGGGGGTATGAACAATAGATAGTAGCAGATTCTCATATCTACTGAATATGCATATAAAATTTGGTAAAAATCAGTAAAGCCGTTTCGGAGGAGTAAAGTAAAACTAACATTGTGACACGAGAATTTTATATATAAGATTTTTATGTATATCTGTTTTTCCGTCTGAATGTTACGCCTTCAGCCTATTCTACGCAGACGTAGTCGCGGGCAGCAGTTAGTAAAGTATAATTCTGGCGACATTTTACACAGCATTTTCTAGTGCCATACTAAGCGAAGCTTGTTCTAGGAATAGTAAGTTACTGATAAATATGTTAAAACACACTTTTGTTTTGTAAATAAATATATATTATAGAAAAAAAACAACAGCTGGACACTAAAACATTTCTTCAGTACACATTATTTGTACTGTAGTATCCTAAAACCAACCCATACTGTATAGTGAACTCTCTTACGCCAGGTCACGTATATCAAGCCGTGTAAAAGCGTATACTGAAAATCGGGAAATTGTACCGAGTACATACCTATTTGGTTTCATGTTTTAGATATATATTCTTTTAATTGTTAACATAACTGTGTTTGTTGTTGAAACTAAATATTCATTCTTATACCAACAGAGAAGATCTACTAATTGTGAAAGATTTGATGGTGCTAGAAAAGAAAAGATCGCGAACAATGTTACCGGTGGGACACTGCCGCCCCATTGCGCACTTGCCCTCGCATATTGTCTTCTGCCTGAGCATGACTTGGTAAGAGTCCAGCATCACACGACATTCCGCCAAATCTCTGTCCGCCAATGCCAACGACGGATATCTCTCTTTTAAACGCCTTCGCTCCTATTTTAAAAATGTATATTTTAGTGATCTGTGTCAATCTTAATCTTTATATATTATTAATAATAACATATTAATATTAAATAGTTAACAGCATTGTTATAACATGAGCTTTTTTTGTTATTTTGCTGTATAATCTGTAGATATACATATTATATACATATAGATAAGAATATAAATACATATACATATATACAATGTATATTTTAATAATATATATTTATATTCAATGGTACAAATTAAACAAAACATACCATCCCGTTATAGAGTGTCGCTAATATTGTCTACTGGATCTTATATCCAGATATAAAATAAATAGATAAAAATTATATCCATTACCAATCCATTGCGAACAATTTTGGATATACATAATTGCATTAAGCAATAAATACTATAAATGTATATCTTCTTAGATGGATATATAATAGTTCTGGAAAAAGGATTTGGATTTTTAGTAAGGGAAGTTTAAGAAGAGTAGTTTTTGTTTTGAAAAGTTTAACCGTTCATGTGCATTTTAATATCGTATTTGTGTGACTCTACCATTAGCCAGTATGCTTTATAAACTTTTGCCACAGCTAATAAACGGGTCGCCTAAACGATTATGTTATAAATACAAAGAAAATTACCTCAACTAATTTATAAGTTTCAAAATCCTGCAGTTGGCGCTGAAAGCCAAGGTTAGGGTTGGCAACAGCACGTCCCGCCCGCACTACTTTTAGTGCCTCGCGCCATGTAAGGGGTGTCACGGACATAATGTATGCGACGGCGACGGTGACACTGCGAGACATTCCCGCCAGACTGAAAAAAATGTTTATAGTCGGGGCCTAAATTGTTTTCTTTAGTTAATTTTCATACATATTTAAACAATATTACAGTTACGGATCTATTATTCTTTCTGACTGCCTGTCTGTTAAGGCATACTTCACACATCTTTTTCTCAGCGGCACGGTGTCGTCCGCGTAGAATTCCGATTCGTTTCTTGAAGTGTATAAAATTTTGTTTCATATACTTTCAGGTTTCTCATAAAAATAATACAGATTTAGGCAATTCTACTTTCATATCATATATTATAAGTATCGTAAATGCTTAAAAAATTAAATCAGTGTATAATAAACAAGAGTATATTATTTTTAAATCAAATTCTAATCACAAGCGAAGTTTGTTGATATCCTTCTACTTATAACGTATGTGATAATATTCGTAAAAGGAATACACGAATATTTAACTGTAGCCTTTGCCGGTCTCTGTAAATGTATGAAGGCCATTGTAACCTCGAACAACGGCATCGGGTTCAAACGTTAATTATGTCACAATGGACTTTCGCTAGTAATTGATTAACGGTCGTAATCGTTTCCCCACCCTCGACTGTGTTGCAAAGTGCGAGAGTTCGTGAGTTAATTTATTGATTTATTGCTTTTCTAGCTAGCTAACTACAAAGCAGCGTATGGAATGTTTTTCAAAATAAATTTCGAATTCATTGTAATACGATCAGAATGAAATTTATGTTTATACTATAGCACATTTACATATAAAACGTATATAAAATCTCACCAATGGATGAGTACATTTCCATCTCTAAGACGAGCCGCATGTATGAAATCGTTGCACAAACTGAAATATTGCGTGAGGTTCTGGTCTGGGGAGTCGGACGCCATTATGCAGAGGTAGTGTTTGTCCTGCGAAATCAAAAACACCTATTACTACTTTTAAATATTTATTACTACTTATTGTTTAACCCGAACTACCTTTTTTTACTTAAGATTATTATAGATTTAGATATACATTTAGTATGAATATTTTTAAATATGAATGTACATATATTTTGTTAATCTTACACGATAAAAAAGACATTACATCAATTTTATTTAAATAATAATTTATAAAATACAGATGCAATAAATAAAAAAAATAATTTTAGAATAAGTAGTTTGTAATTCTTTAGGGAACCATGGTTTTGCAATCTTATGTAGAAAAAATCAGTCAAAAGTCAACAAATAATTATAATATACATTAATATAATAATAGTAATTTAATAATTATTTTTATTATAACACCATAATTTCGTACACCTAAATATTTTAAAAATTTAATTGGTTTTGCATAGATCTACCGAGGTAAAATTATTGGAAGCTAGTGAATTATAATATTTTTAACATACAATAATTCTTCGATTATAAACGACTTTGCTGAAAACAAGGAGGCTTACAAGCCAAAATGTTAAGAACTACCAACATCATCAATAAATAATTTAAAAATATTAATCTTGAAAAAAAAAATACGTTGGGATTGCTATTCAGTGGAAAAATTATTTGGTGTTGTATAGTTAGTGTTATGTCAGCAGTGTAGACTCAGCAAATTAGGTTGTTATCACGTCTACTTAAGGACCAACAAATTAAATTCTCGCTCTAGTTAACTAGTTGATTAACATCATCAAAAACCAACATAAAATCTAATAAATAAATGTTGTATTATCCAAAGGATGTATACCGTAACTACGTGAATGTATCATATTTTAAAAGAGCTTTTATGCGAACTAGTTGGTACAATAGGTATAAACAAATCAAACCGTAGAAAACGTTAACCAAGATTATACTGTGATGGACTCATGCCAGCAGATTTTGCTATTGCATGATTAACTATCCCTTATAAAAACTATCGTAAAGTAGAAGTATTAGAATTTTGCCTAAACTTATTGAGAAAGGCAACCGGATTCTGCTCAAAGGTACTCGCGGTCGAAGAGCGGCAAACCGCTTTGCAAACTTTTCCTATAGGTACATGAAAAAAGCCCATTAAGCGTACTTAACGAAGTTATAAAACACTTAAGAATATGAATTCCGCACAAACTTTTGAAGTTACACCTTTTTCAATATCGTAGCTTATATATCTTTGAATGGGGCGAATGTAAACAGACCTGTGTAATAATACATAGAGAATAGAGATATGATAGTTGATGAAGAAATACAGCGTGTCGTTACCATCGCGACAATAAATGAACACACGTCTAACGCTACTTGCCAATAATCATAAAAAAATATTAACGTTAAACAAAATCTATGATAAAAGAAAAATATTTTTCAAACAATGTTTAAAGAAGTTAATGTTTATACGATTTTAAAAATTCCTAATATTGTGTTTTTATTGTTTAAAGACAATACTTCAAAATTGGGTTTGGCCTCCAAAAGCGAGATGAGGCCGTTAGTTACGACTGCCCAAATAAATAAAAGCGTAGCACACGCAAACAAACCTAGAAAAAAAACGAAGTATGTAAAAAAAGAATTTATGCTGGTTCTATGATAAGAAAATTTTCACAATTTGTAGAGTATAATTCTTTTAGTGATAATTAAAACCAAAATAAGTTTAGGGAATAGCATTCGATTTTATTACTTTCGTAAGCGATAAAGAAATTTTTGGTTTTATATAATGGGCTACCAACCAAACGATTTTTATTGACTCCCAAATAAATAAAAGCGTGACATTTTTCATCACTTCTTCAATTTCAAATGTGCATAATTTTCCACATCTCTCAAACCGTCATGGAAGTTCTCTATGCACATAACTCTACAAATGACATATACAGATTTTGAAATTCATGGGCAAGCAGAAAAGTGTTAAATCTATGATCACATATCACGGAGTTTACGACATAATTTCCGTAATAGTATTCAACGGTTGGTGTTTTCGTGGCAATATTTTACCGTCGACAACATTGAGCAGTCGCAATGCGCCCAAAATTGTTTTTCTGGCGTACGGAAATTGGATAAGAGGTCTGCAAAGGCAGATTGCCTGCAGCTGGTCGGTGAAATTGGACAAATAACTTACCCCTTCGTTTTAGATATAATTAAGTTAAGCGAGTTAAGTTTAAGAAAGATTCAAATGTTTTTCTCTAAACAATCTATTGCATTACCAGCTTAAGTAATGATTTATCACTTAATCCCTCTTGGTAAAATACATATAGTATTATTAATAAGGGTAGGACAAACACATTGGAAATCTTTAAATTAACAGTTAAGTTAGTTAGAAGTTCAAGGTACATAGGACTTTAAATTTAAGTGTAGATATCAAAACAACCTTGGTAACTGATACACACAACAGTACCAATAAGTGTTCCAAGAATTTTAGGGTAATGAATAATAATCCGGTTAATGTCAATTGTGATTTTTGATTTTTTTATTAGAACTGATGTTTTTGCTTTCAGTCCCGAGACTATTAAAGCTTCATCTGACGCAGAACCGGTGGGCTAGCCAGAACCCACGGGTTTGATGTCAATTGTGTTTCCATGAATGGCCGTCGAGAGTGAACTGTAGCGGATGCATGCAAAGAAGCTCTCTGCGAATGTTTCGCAGTTACGGGAGCACACTCAGTCACGTGTGGCTTGTAGTGCCCAATTTGCGCACGTTAATGACGGCGGCATTTGTAATTCACAACCGCCATCACCGTTATGTGACCTCTAAATGTTTTCCAACCTAAATATATGCATATATTTAGGTTGGAAAACATTTTAGGTTGGAAAACATTTTAGGTTGGAAAACATTTTAGGTTGGAAAACATGTTAGAAAATATGCTGCGAATGTCTGTATGTAAATACCTCTCAGGTCCATAGAATGTCACCGAGCTCCCGCAGTTCTCAATATTGTTAAAAGGAAAAATCAAAGTTACATACAAAGTACCCTTAATAAAATTCTTATTATTTTTATTATTCCATGAATACGACAACACTGCTTATGTTCATACAATTAATATTTATTACGAAATTGTTAATTGTGTGAAACGTGTCGACTATTCTTAAACTTCTATCATGTTTTAGCATTTGAAAGTTTTTATGTCAGAAATGAGCATAAGATGCTGGGAATACAAGAAGGGAAGTGCAACCATTTGCATAATTGGCACTACACTGTAATAGAACGGGCTATGTTGAGATATTTTAAATAGTTGTTCATATCTATCTAGTACTCGGAATTAGAGATGATCGCATTTAATTTCAATCGTATGGGATCTCGGACTCCGGAGATACATGAGGTAAATCTGAAGCCTAAGAAACATGAAGTCGTTTTTATTTTTGGTTATAAAAATGTCTCTTTGCGGTGCGTCTTTTGTTGCTGAATGTGTAGCAATTTATTAATCTTAATTCTTATACAAGCTTTGGAGATATTTTTGTTAAAATCACATAAAATAGAAATAAACGAATATGAAATAAACTTATTTTTTACTAACTTAGAATTTGACGTTTAAGAAATGAGAAAATCATTTTAGATACTGTTTTAACACAAAAAATTAAATCTAATATTTAGAAAAATAATTCACATAAAAAGAAATCATACATTGTTTCCTTTGTAATATTTTAAGACGCTTATATTGGCTTGAAATGTAAAAATTGTGAGAGTAGTAGTAAACATAATCTAACAAAAATATATATAAATAACGGACCGGCCAGATGTTGTCCTGTACAATACGACTTCAATTCGACAGCTTAGAAATAAAAAAATAAAATGTAGTTTACCGAACTGTGAATCTAAACCATTCTCGAATCGACCTAAAGACACACAAAAAATTCATTAAAATCGGTCAAGCCGTTTAGAGAGTCCAGAAGTTCAGTGACATACACCCGTACAGAAGAATTATATATATAAAGAAGATAATAATAATATTAAATATTGATTTTTAAGTGCAAAACATGCACTAAATAACAGAATTTCAATGAAAATTTAATAAAGTTTAAGTAAGTTGCCCGATGGAATCAGTTTACAAGGTCCGGATTTGCACAGGATATTTCCGGATTGACACAGGCAATGATGAATTAAAGAAAGGAAAGGAATGGTAAGACTGAAAATACAAATTCAGGGAATTTTCGAGTTCTGTTTTTGCGAATGATGATAAAAAAGTAAATTACATTATTGTTTCTATAAACAGTGCCGCGGTACTGGGATATGGACACGTTGTATACACCCGGTTATTATCAGTTCCTTTTCAGCTTAAACGTAATAAAATTACCAAACATATATGATTATAGTTTTTTTAATTTTTGGTTTTAAATTTTATATTTATCACCGATATGTTTCGAATGCGTTTGATAATTTGAGTTGTACAAACATTTTGCTTTTGCTAAATGCATGCAGTGAGGAAATTTGGTCCAGAAGTGCAGAACGTGGTGATATGGTTTGGCCGTATAACGTATATGTGCCAAGGCCGATGGCCCGGAGGATTCAGCAGCGATATAACTGTATTGATTCAATGCATTTCGCACGTGATTCATCCGACGTCATACACTATACGGGTACATAGGATTTACATTATTTATGTTGATTAAAAGATCGCAAGTTAATATTAATAACTGACACTGGTTTTAATGTTGCGGTTTCATTCGGTAATCGGATTAAAGATAAACCCAAATCACTGTATTACTTAATACATTTTAAGCAAAATCAAAATGCAATATGAAATACTGTTACGAGCTGGGGGTTCGGGATTGGAGTGAAACACCGGTCGTTTAAATGTTTACTTTATTGACGCCAACAACGACTTGCACAGCGAACCTCTCAATAGCGTTTTAGACATTACTACTACTATCGATATGACGTCTCTCCCGTTCCGCACCAATCTTACAGTGCCACGCAGTGGCGGATTTGCCCAGTAGGCCCGGGCCTGGGGCGGCCGCGGATTAGGGGCGGCTAATCGGGGA